CAAATATAGTCACTGCGTTATGTTATTGGCCAAAAACTTGGGCTTAAGAACGAGGGAGGGGAGAGAGGGGGTTATCATCGTATTTATCAAAAGGACGTATGCCTTTTAACACTATTACTTAGAAAACCAAGTAACGGTCGTTCGAGGGTCTCAATAGGATTAACCATTAGCCGTAAAACGGGCCAACCATTTAGCCGTTAGGCGTAAAAATTGGACAATTTTAACCGTTGGTTGTAAAAAGTGTTAACTGCAAGAAAATTTAGCCAAGAAAAAGACAGTCTCAGGATCTCTCGTCAAGACTTTTTGTGTCATGTTTTGCGGCTTGGTAGTACAGGGAAAGCCGGGAGATTGCGTAATTTATAACACCTTTTCCCATCCCAGAATGGTCCGCAGACCTTAAATATGTTTTAGAGTAATTAAATTAAATGTTTAACTTTTTGAAACAATGGTAATTAATTCCTAAGATTTCTGTTAACCGTAAGGAAAATGAATTAACCGCTAGCCATAAAAAAGCCAAATTATTAACCGTTAGCCGTCGTTATCCCATTGAGACCCATTGAAAATATGATGAAAACATTGCAAAAAAGAAAACCAAGAAATGGTTAGTAAAGATTTACAACGTAATAAAGAAAAAATAAACCAGGTCAGGGTTAACAAGGTAATGAAAAAATAAAACGAAGTAATAAACCGTTTCAAACTTTATTCTCTTGTATACTACACTACATATAAAATCTCTGTATTTTTTTTTTCCTTTTTACTTTAGTTTACACGTGCTTGCAAAACCTGGTGTCCTACAGACAAATTTATAGCTGCCCGGGAACTCTCAAGCTAAAGACCTGTCTACGGCAGACACCACTCGGCTTACAAAGAAAACGTTTGATTAGTTAAGTGGACAGTCTATGCTCTCAAGTACCCATGAATATGAAATCCTGTTGAGAGCTTGTACAGTTCATCTAAGAACTTTGTACATCTGTATTAGCCTTGGTTCAGCGCAAGAAACGGCAAGACAAGAAAACAGGTCATCCCAAACCCCTCCTTTGTTTACTCATTTTCTTTGCTCGCTGAATTTTATGCTGCAATTTAACTAATTGAATACCAGGGACAGGCTACAAATGTGTCGAGTAAAGAAATTTTTAAACAAAGAAAGACTGTTGTATTACAAACAGTCTTCATCTATGCACAAATTTCTGTTATCTCCACGTTGTCGCGTAACATGCACCTGAGCCACCAATGTCATAATCATTGCCTCCCAGATGCATAAGAGCCAAACTTCAATCTAAGCAATGCAGTCCAGTTGTCTCGATCAATCCAGTGTACAAAACCTCGTTGTCCAGTTCTGTCTACTTGACTAACTCGACACCATCAGGCAATGTGTTACTGACGCATCGTAAACCAAGATTGGAGGCAGTGGTGTCAGCTGAATTCTGACTTCTAGCAGCACAGCGGTATCGGTAACAATACGACTAAGGAATAAAGACAGAAGAACAGAAAACCAAGGGATCAGTCTTCACTAATGTACGGGAAACGGACACAAGAATATGAGAGTTATACCTAGACTTAACCTAACCTTATGATGAGCACGCCTACCCTTTTCATATGGGAATAAGATCGAATAAAGCTTTCAACTTACTTTGTGACACATGTAGGATCCTCCTTTCTTTACTTTGTCTCTTCCTGAAGATGGCCCCGTCTGAAACAAAACAGGTAACAACACCCATTATAAAATCATTGTATCCAGAGATTAATTGATATATTGACTAAGGTACACCTAAGGACCTTCGCCAGTCAGAAAAGTACTGATTTCTGAGACCTAATTCGCTAAGCATGCAGGTGTCTGTATAACGCAACATAAGTTATTCTGGTACCGCTTAAAAGAGGTGATCAAAATTTAGCGCATTATGGGGCAAAAAACCGAACACGAAGACAAAAGTAAGCGCGCAATCTGCATTTATTGTTCGTAAAAACTTAACGCGAAATATGTCTGAGGAGTTCATGCACCAGCCAAAGGATTTTACAGTAATGTTGTTCGTAAGGCAAGTGTTGAGCGTCTTTGCCTTAAATCGGGTAATTGACAGTTTTGGCATCTCATTTAACATGAAGTGAAAAAAATAGTTATGGTCATCTGTGATTGGGATTGCATAACTTAATTTGGTGAAGCAAGTCAGGGCCAATGAGAGTTCTTTGTGACCTTAAAACTGTGCCCCTGTTGACCACTTAATGTAACAGGGTGACCGTTTAACAGAGATGAATTAGTCAGTTGGGAAGTCCAAACGGTGACCGCGTCCACTTAATTGGAGGGGGGGGGGGNTAATAGAGGGTGACTGCTTAACAGAGGGCCGCTCAATAGAGGTTTGACCGTCAGTAATAATACAAATTAAGATAAAAACTAGTTGACAGTTACTTGAGTTTAACGCTTGAACGGATCATTAGTTGAGAGTAACTGTCAACTAAATAGTGTATTTCACTCTGCATGTATTTGTATTGAACACTTCGACTGTGTGAAACCACCATAATTTGTTTGCATCTGACTCATACAGAAATGAGAACCAGAAACAATCCAGGAGATTGTTCAAATAATAATTAAGAATAACAGCAATAGTTTCATCTGGGTAGTAAGATTACTAACTCCCTATCCATCCCTTGATTCTCACCGGATTTTCTTGAAAGTTAGTTGAGTGTCTTATGTTCCACCAATCTTGCGTCCATTCCCATACATTTCCTAGCATGTTGTAAAGGCCATAACTGTTTGGTGGGAATGCTGTGATAGGGGCTGTTCCAGGATACCCATCCTCTCCAGTGTCCAGAGTTGGAAACTTTCCTTGCCACGTGTTTGCCATGTGATTGCCATCTTTCTTGAACTTATTACCCCAGGAAAATACCCTGACAGAATAAGTGAAGTATTAGCTAGTGACCATTACATTACTAAATGGCAAGACTTTGTTACCATATAATATGCTTCGTATGTATGATTGTCCAATGTTCAGGGAGCCTGAATTTCCTGTAATGCTCATGGCCATTCTGTGTGATTGAAAACAAGGGGCAAAACACAAAATGGCAAAATGACAAAAAGTTAGTGTGGGATACAGGTGCCTGTAGGGTTAACTCAGGTTACAATTAGTGAGAGCTAACTACTGTTGAGTCAGCGTTATTGAGGCTAAGCTGAGCACTATTTAGCCATTTAGGCTAACCAGAGCGCTACTGTTTTAGGTTAACCGTGGTGCCATTTCATCATTTGACCATTTCGTGTTTTAAACAAGCCCAGAAATAAGGACAGGGTCTCTTACTTGTTCTGTAGCCCTGCTCTGCAGGCATATTCCCACTCTGCTTCTGTTGGCAATCTTTTACCACCCCATTGACAAAACGCAACAGCATCATTCCAAGAAATGTGGATAGCTGGGTGATCCATTCTATAATGTGTTAAAGGCGAGACAAACAGAGGTGGAAATTAATTTTAATTAAAATTAATGTAGGCCAGTGAAATGGTCTTGCAGCCCAGGCATGGGCTGCCAAACACAGTGAGGAGATATACTGTGGAAAGGGAGCAGTCCAGAGCAGGGTGGCAGTCCTGGAGCGAGATGTGTGTGATGGCACAGTTGATGGAGAGCAAATTTGGAGGCCTTATGCACCAATCTGGCACAAGAAGTTAGGTGGAGGTCAGGTGAAGTGAAATAGCAATAACCTATTTGCACCTGTGCTGGCCGTAACTGGCCATGTGAAAACCACTCCCAAAAATGGAGGGGAAAGGGGATCCCAGGCATGGTTGCTAACCTTCTTATGCTCTCTTGGAACCTAAATTTACAAAAAAAAACAGAAATATCTTATATTGGTGCAGATGATTCAAAAGTTTCATACCAAAGAAAAAAGGTCCTGTTAGGGTAAAATTGTGGCAAGGGTCATAGCATGAAACAGAGACGTGGAGGTCCATTAAAAGGCATTAAACATGATTTGTATTGAAACTGTGACAGCAATGAGAAGACCATGCAAAATAGAGAATGAAAAGAGCTAAAATTCAGACAGAGGATATGTACACCCTTCCCTGTCCACCCCCTACAGGGCCTCAGTTATGAACTGTTTTGAAGTATGGTATTCACATGCAGAAATTGCAGTCAATTGCTATTAACACCTGTCTCTGATGTGTGAATCAGGTCCTTCTGGTTTCCTCCAATATGCTCCTTTTACAGGAAGCCACCAAGGTGCCGCTGCAACCTGCCAGTTACAACACAGCAACTTAGCTGCTAGACATAGTGAAACTCAATACTGGTAACTTAAATCATTGTTAACAGTGAAACTGTGAAACCATGTATTGCCATCATCATCATCATCACCGTCGTCCTCGTCCTCGTCATCATCGTCATCGTCATCATCACTAATAATGAATGAGTGACTAAATGAAATGACCACTCACTGCTTGGTGTATATCCTTCTTTATCTCTTCACTAATCTTCCCTTCAAGTACAAATGAATCACCAAACTTTTCAGCCTGAAAAATGGTAATAAAAACTAAAAATCCTACATTAACCTTGATCAGTTCATAACTCAGTCATGATCTCATTTTACACAAAAATGTAAACAAACTGTACAAACTTGTAATTTTATTTAACAAATAAAGAGGCCTAAGCCATGTGTTACACTGTGATAAAACACAACAGACATTTGAGAACACGGGGAAGTGTAGAAAACAAGAGCTGCAGGTGAGTGTTTCCTACATTTCTCAAGTGTTCTCAAATGTCCGGAGTGTTTTATCACAGTGTAATACATGGCTTAGACTTCTTCATTTACTTTATGATATAAAGGTAATGTGGTAAAAAACAATAGAACACACTTTTTCTATGTTTTATACTCTGATAAAACATGGGTTTTTGACCAATCAGAACGTGTGCAGGGTCCTATCTATATTATAGTGCTTGGTATTACACTGATATAAAAAGTTAGCATCCAGCTGCAGTATACATGTGTGCTTGATCAGGGATATTCTTTTATGGGTTGACCCACAGGCTTACATGTTTTATTTCTTGCTGCACTTTCCCACTACCCACCCACAAGAATAGCAGAAATGGTGTCACATTCTGTGTACCTCCACCACCCCTTTCACTAGCGTTTCCTTTTAAACATAAAATAATTGACTGCGATGTGTTCTACATGTACCTCTGTAACATGACCAGTACTGTTAACAAAAAGTTCAAATTCTGCATTGCTGGCCTCATAAATGTCCATATAAAATGAATTAACTTTCACTTCTCTCGCAGGCCCCTCGCCATCCATAGGCAGGTACGGTTTATTCGTACCCATTGTAAACCTTCCACCTTCGACAAAACTCATTTGATTCGTCCTTTTGTGAGGTGATTTTAATTTGATTTCGCCGTCTGTGTTTCCTGTGTTTAGCGTCATTTCCTCCTTATTTAAAGCATTATTTCGTTTCAACACAGAACATCCGCAAGAACCTTTTCCATCGGAGTTCATAGAATTTTCAGGTCCAGAATTGGACAGACGAATACTGTAGCCAAAACGTGGGCAAGTTTCTTGACTGTTTAATGCCACTGCGGCTCCAATTTGCAGCCAGATTAAAAGTTTTTTCCACATGCTCGCCGTTGTAGGGTCTTTAAAACAAAAAAGAAAAGATCTGACAAATCTACAAATAAAATATTCTCAAAGTGTAAACATTTTGTTTTGATCACATGCTTCTCACAACTCTTCTCGTGCTTGGTAACCACGTATTCGTCTGAGCCGTCATTTTACGGCAGCGGCTGTACCACCAGAAAACAAAATGGCGGCTAGAGGTGGTGTAAGTTGTTTATCTTGAGATAATTCCAGCTGTTATCTTTCTCAAGCTCATTCTTTTGAATTCAATTGTTGCATCCCATCTAGGATTTAAGAAACGCAATAGAGCAAGCAACTCAAACTGGCGAAGAATTTAGCAACGTTTACTACGAAACATTCGACAAGAGACGACATGTGAGTTCGTTTCCCAGGACCTAAGCTATAATGAGCGACAAAAGCACAGGGACACTTTTAGAAAATGACGCTTTTGGATATTTAACCTCTTATTCGATTTTATTTTAATGTAGCGTTAATTCTCTGATACCCCAGGCTCCCCAATTCAATGTTGTCTAGGCACTGTGTCAAATCACATCGGCAAATATAAATAAAGTGGCTGGGTATTCTGAAGTT